TTTGGTGAAATTTGTCTCTGTTTTATTTCGGTCCAAAAAGATCACATGGGCAAGATCAGTACGACTTATATTTATCTTTACATGTGCTCTAGCCAGTAACACATGACATACCAAAACCGCGCATACACCGCATACTTTAATTTGCTTTTCGATAACAGTTTTAGATATTATATCTAGAGCGGTGTCGTAAAACCAAAACGAAGGTACTGAATCACTCTAGCCAATCAAAGAGAACATAGAGATACAAAGAACCAATAAAAACTCGAAGTAATTACATGTAGCCGACGGAAAACGCAGGACGCACAACGAACTAATTTGTCGGGGGTCATCATTGCCCACGAACGGATCAACAGAGCGTTTATTTCAGGTAGGGAACAGATATTAGCCGTTACCTGAACACTGACGTAGAAAGAAATCACATCCATATCACACTGAGAACAATTCAAAAGTGATTAAAACATTCTGCTATGGTTATTGTTTTCCTCATTCAATTCTCTCGTGAACATGTTCTCAAAAGATCCGTACTGACCATACGGCTTTACCTTCGTTCTTGTGAAATAGAAACGGATTAACGTAATAAAAATGGAGAGATATTCTATGTCTAACGACGAACTGAAAAAAAAAGCTTTCGCAATATCGAGCACGTCTCATATTGACGTTTGGAGTTTCAATGGTGAAATGTTGCGCCCCTGCAATTTATCTAGAGGTAGAGAGTTAGAATATTGTTGTTGGTTGGTTAGCTGCTCGATATCTTTCCTCCGTCCACGCCTGCATAATTTCTTTCGTGCCTGTTTGATAATTTTTGGGAGAGATTTGTCCTCCCCTCTCCCTTAAATAATCTAGTGGACCACCCTCGAAGGATCTCAATATAAAAACTACCCCGAATGGGGAAGCATTCCGTGATCAACTAAGAGCTGTCCTCGCACTAAAAGCTGTATTAATGTATAAAGTTCCCTGCAAACCATGGAAATGTTGTCGACCGACGAAACAGTTGCCCTTACACTACACTCAATATTTGCTTTTTTTTTTCTGGAAGCAAAACATGTTTGTGATGTTTCCTTTTTCATAAGGAACATTGACACATTTTGTGGTTGGGAAACGGTCGTGTGAATGACATATTTCCCACAACACAAAAACTTTCCAGAAAAGCGATTTGCCTTCGTTACTCTTTGTAAAATATCTAACTTTGGTCTACTTTGGTTTTGTGTTGATTGACAAGTTTTCATTACGATCAATTAAGTTTTTCAAACAATAATATAAAAATTCGCATGCAAAATATTTACCTCAAAGTGTCAATTCCTTAGCACCTAGCTTATTTCGAACTGGCTAGCCGCAGGTAAATTAGTAGAGAAGCTTTTTTTACCTTAAGGTAAGTGCTAGACCTTTGTATCTGCATGCATGCTGTAGTAAAGTGTTTTTTAAGCAATTTTATGCAGTCAATCAATCAGGTTTGAGGGCGCGTTCACAGACATGAAGATTGAGACAGAATGATCAACACAAAACGAGACGATGTTAACTTTTCAACTCCTGAAGAAAGGTGAGCTGCAATGGACACCCATCTTTCGGACAGACTCAAGATTTGCTGAGCTTATTGGCTATCATCCGTGCGAGAGTAAAAACTGTTAAACCAGGGTTACTTACTCAAAGTCGTCACTAAATTTGATTCCTAAAAAAGGTAACGAAAAATGAATAAGGAAAATATCATAAACCAACTTCAGAGAGACTTACTCAACAAGTACTGTCAAGTTATAGATAGACAATAGTCTCCATTTGGCGCGAAAATAAGCTCAGATATTTGTCCGCGGACAAATATTTTAACTTATAAGAATTTTCGTCCTGTGAGCAACCAACCATTCATCTCCAAGATTGTTGCAAAAGCACTTGTTTCTCAACTTCTTCCACATTGTGAACAAAATGCTCCATTACCTGAGTTCCAATCAGGATTCCGGAGATTTCATTCAACTGAAACCGCCTTGCTTAAAGTTTAGAGCGATATTCTCATGTCTATGGATCATCAGGAAGTTACGCTCCTAGTGCTATGAGATCTGGGTGCAGCTTTTGATACCATCGACCACCAAATTCCTCTCGAAGTCCTTGAAAATAATTTTGGAATAATTGGCTCTACCCATGATTGGTTTGCTTCATATCTATCTGATCGAAAGCAACGTGTTCATGTCAACAACAATTTGTCAAATGATTTTAGTCTGAACTGTGGTGTCCCACTGGGTAGCTGCATGGGCCCAGTTTTGTTTATTTTATACGTTTCACGGCTTTATCATATTATCGCCAACCATCTTCCTTCTGCCCATGGATATACCGATGACACCCAATTCTATCTTTCTTTTAGACCGGCAGACGGCACTTTGTCTCAAGATCACGCTCTAGCGGTTGATGGAAGCCTGTATTTCCAATATCCGTGCTTGGTTAATTCATAACCGTTTACTAATCAACGACGCAAAGATTGATTTTTTAATTATTGGCTCCAGCCATCAATTGTCAAAAATCTCAATTGACTCCATTACCGTGGGCGACTCCACTATCCAACCTCTAGAAAGTGTTTGCAATCTGGGCTCCTGGTTTGACACTACGTGTCGCAAACACTGACCCCCAGTCCGCGGACCCCCACTACGGATCGGGTCCGCCGACTACCTATGGACCGGTCCACAGACTACCCCTACGGACCCCTCTACGGACCATCCCCCAAAACAAAATAAAAATAAGAAATAAATATTTCAGTTATGGATTGTCTAATAGATCGTGTCGGCGAAAGTTCGAACGTTACATTTTGCAAATGTAGCATTCTTGGGTTCAGGCTCGGGCGCAAGTTATATCATTACACATTGCCATTTCCTTTGCCGTGGCCATACTGGATATGAAAGACCGTGAAAGCCTCCAGGAAGCCTCCGGGAAGCCTCGAAATTTGTGCT